ATATTTAATATTTTAGCGATATTTGTAGATATTGACAATTACAGCATTGCGATAATTGATAAAATTCGTTAAAGAAAAATTGATTGTCAATTTGTGTGATTGTCCAGTCGTGATATAAATCGACTAGCCTCCTGTATATTTTTAATCTCATTAGAATAAAGTGGAATAAATATTATTATGAATGCTTGATAAATTGTCGTAAAAAACACGTATTGATTAATCTTTCATTATTTCCAATAAACGTTGAAATAATTGCATTGCGTGCATAAAGAGTTCTTACTTCGTTATGTTAGGCAATCAGTCGTACCGCATTAAAATTGAGTAATGAAAAGAGAAAGAAAGAGAAAGAGAATTGAATTCTAATAATTATTAAACATTAACCGCGCATTATCTGTTAATGATATTTGCAAACATCGTGTTTATAAATATTATATGTCGCAGAAAGTTAAATATCAATGCTGCAAAAAATAAGTCAGTCATTCTTTAATTGTTTTTGCACGTACCTCCGTGTCAAAAATTTAAACATGACTTCCTTGCACTCCTCTGATTTATATTTCGCTTGCTTCTTTTACCTAATTATTTAGATTATACGCTGTAATTTTATAATTGATATTCTCTATAATAAAATATTTAATAAACATACGTCATATAACGGGGAAAATTTCTGCGATCTAGAAATAATATTATCAACATCATTTAATCCTATATATATCACAAATTCATTTTTCATCTGAGTATATTAATTTTGATATAAAGCAATAACAAAAATACCAAATGCTGATCAAAGTCGGCGGTTCTCAAGCGTCAAAATGCAAGTGGTTGAAGGTCTAAACTTTAGCAAAGAAATCTCCGCATCGCCGTTGTACTCCGAATAACATTCCACATCGAGACGATGCTGTGCGAATCGTTATTGCTCGTTTCGGGCATCGATCGGGACTCGTAGTATGCTCGCGAGGGGAATCCCAATAAGTCTCCTTCCCGTTCATCCCTGTGGTATCGAAGACGCCGATACGGACACTCTGCTTGGCATCGGAAGGAGCGCTCTCTCGCTATCTCAAAATGACCAGAAGGGAAAAAAAGGAAGAAGCGAGAATGAATCGACGTGAGTGGGTGCCGAATGCTGAAGTAGAACGTAATGTTCTTTACGCGCGTGGATCAAACCCGGTTCAACGTATAAACGACGGCCGATAAATAAATAACGCGGGGGTGAAAGGGGCTGCTATCCCGGTCGGCGGTTGAGCGGCAATAAAGAAAAGTAACGCTGGGACACCCGCGTGAAAGAGAATCAATTCGATTCGTCTTACCACCTGTCTCTTTCTCTCTTTCTATCCTTCTCTCGCTCTCTCTGTCTAACCACCCCGTGTCTTTTCCCTCACTTCCCATTCCACATCCACGGCAAGTCTCATGCCGCCTCACGGTGGTCGTTTCTTTCCAACCCCTCGACCTTCTTTCCAACCCTCCTTCTCTCGCAGCGCAACAAGTGCGCCCCGAATCGCATCTTTAAGAAAGCGGTCTCGTACTTCCACCCCTCCCCTCCCCTCTCACCCGGTCTCACCCGGTTTTCACCACCTTCGCCTGCTCGCTTCCAACCCTGGCTCGAGTCACACCCCGCCTAACACCCGCCGTTTCAGCCGAGCGTTTTCCTTCTCGTCTTTTTCCCCGTCTTCTCCAGCCTTGTTCGTTCCCCCTTTCTCACTTTCAGCTATTTCTCACCCATCCCCCTTTCTCTGGCCAGGCCGCAACTATCTTCCAAATCACTCCGCACTTTCTCTGTCTCTTGTCTTTCCGTTCTCCATCTGTCGCTCTCTCGTTTTTCCTATTATTCTTTTCTCGGAGATGGCTCACGCGTATCCGAACGGTTGCCAACCACTCTCTTCAACGCTTTTCCCGTCGGTGTTCGCCCTTTTCCCTTCTCATCCCGCTGACTCTCTCCGTCATATCTTGTCATCTCTTGTTTTTCATATTCTTCACCCGATGGTACGTTTCGCGCATACGTGCAGGAAATGAAAAGATGTAGCGAACGGACTCGGCGAGCGAGACTGACAAAGATTATACTGAAAGATAGACTTCGCGGCTCGACCAACACAAATTTGAGGCGCCGATTCGTGAACTTTCCTGGCCACAAAGCGACATAATGCAAGATCTCTAAAGAATAAAATGATTATCTGCTGTGCTATCGTTAGAGTAATTAATATAATCAGAACATCATCATTTATTTCAATTTCACAAAAAAAAATAAGTTTATTTGCAATTTAAAATTTACCTTCAATCATGAAATTACTGCATGTTAACTTTATCTAATATTAGTTATAAAATTTTCTGTCAAATATTTTTCCTCCAAAGTTTTTTATTTCTTTGCGACAATATTTCTCTCTTTTATTACAGCCACTTTTTAAATTATTTTTTTTTTTAATTTTCCAGATACTGATGCTTAAATCCGCATTTAATACTGCGAAATAAAACGTTGGATTTAGAAGCTGCCGATAGGCGGGAAATTTAACGAATACCGGTGCGCTACAAGTTATTACGCAGACATCTGCGACCCTGTCGAACGCGACGTTGGATCATCATTCGTTGAAACACGTTGAATTTATTGGGGATTTAATGCCGCTCGGGACGTTTATAGGAGCGCAATAAATAAACTCGAGCGCGCTGTTACGAGTGACAGCAACGTTACCGGAGGCCGAAGAGCGTTGCGCATAGGGAACATTGTATTCCAAAACCCGGCGCAAAAATGCCAGCCCGATGCAACCGACTGCCATTTTCCCTGACATAATTGCAACGCGCTGCGATTAATTAAAAAGATCAAACAGTCACTTCACTGAAAATAAATCTTCTGGTATATAATATTTTTTTTAATACTATAAGTTTGTCTCTGTGCATATATATTATATATTTATGTACAATATAATATACAATTATATAAAATATTGGAGACAAATTAACGAGATGTTAAATATTTGAAATCTAAAACGAGTAACCATTACCAAATTATATAATAAAAAAAGACACGATATAACTTTATCAGCTATTAACTTATCTTGGCAAGATTACAAGAAATTCATAAGAGAGTTCTCGACTTTATATCCCGATTTAAAAGCGAGCGTAACATCCAAGAAAGCACGTTGACACATCGTCGTCTTCGATCCCGAGGACGCGTAACTTCTCGAGAACGGCACGCCGTCATGATGATCGACGAAGCTCCCGAACGGATGTCCCGGTTTAACGATCGGGAAATTCGACGAAAAGGAAAGTTATTAATGACCAAAGTTGGACGAACGTCGGGAACGGCGGGTGAGCGCGCGCGACGGGTTGGAACTCGCTCGATTACAAAGCTCGCAGGGGCGAGAGTAGGATTACAAATTGCGCCCAAAAGTTGCCCCGCTCTAGAGCGGAATAATGGATCCCGAAATAAACGAAACTGCCGGCAGGGGCAATAATTTAAGCGGATTCCATGCCACACTGTGGCTCACGATTTCGTCACGCGGTTTCGAGCCGAGCTCGACGTCGAGTCGAGCGAGCGAGGCTGCGAAGTGGCAGGAAATCAATCGGACACCCCGGGACACTTCGAGGCCCCGTAAAACGAGAGAATACGTATCCATTCTCGTTACGAGAAGGAGAGAGAGAGAGAGAGAGAGAGAGAGAGAGAGAGAAGCGGGATTGTGTATTTGGAAAGTAACGAATACGGCTATAGCGCCTGTAAAACGAAACTCTGTTTCGCGGTTGCAAAAATCGAATAAAAAATACAATTAGCTTGTATAAACCAAGATTTTCGCGAAACTGCGGCGATTCGCAACGCAAGGTAATCATTCGCGTTCCAGTTGCAACATATGGAATATTTTATGAATGTATTAATACTAATATTACGGTTATTTATGGATTTTCATGGAATTTTGATTTAAAATTGATATTATATAACAGAATATTATAAAACAAAATTGTATATAAACACACACACTGTAGTAATGTAAACATAAATTATATAGATCATTAAATTTTTCCTTGCTACGGAAAAAAATCTTAGAAATTTTTACTCTATCAAATCGCATCTCTTCTCGCTCCGTAATAATTTCTAATTCGTATCATTTACAATTGCGCTTAACAAGCGGGGATGTGATAATAACATTTCATAAATAAATGCATCTGGAAATTTTCTCTCGCACTATTCGTCTAATATTTTGCATAATGTTTCACGTTTATCTCTTTCTCTTTCTTTCTTTCTCGCTCCGGTAAGAGAAGGAGAAGCTTTTGTGCAATCATAAATTAGTCGAATCTCGTTACGGAATGCAAAAAGTGCATCGCGAATGCATCTGAATTGTAGAACAGGAGCTCGCTTGTAATAGATCGGCGAATTTTGCGCGCGAAAGCAGCCGTATGTGCGGGTTACATCTGACACGCGCAGTAAGCGATACACTGTTACATAACATTGTTAAATTCTACGTGTGACCTGAAATAGTTGCGTCACGTACGAGAGAGTCTATCGTACGAGAGAATCGTAATCCCCGATGCGAAGCCCGTATTACGACGGTGGGATCATGTCAATTGCATTATTTCCTTTTTCCTTTTATTTTATAAGATAAGCGCTTCTCGTAGAAGTGATAACAATAATTCAAGTACATAGTAATTTTATTCGAGCTACTTTCGTCGATTGATAATGTGAATTATCAGTAAGTTACACTATGTGTAACGTCGTGTCTACCTCACACAACGTATATATAACGCAATAGAATCCATATTAATTATTATCGCGAGAATTATTACAGTCTTTCCGCTACTCTCATTTCGAGGATTCATTAAATCCAGGCATCGAGCCCCGAAACTCGAGCGATTTAAAGCCGATGAAATTGATTTTTAAAGAGCACGGCCGAATTAGCATCGTAACGAGAACGCGGACGCGAGATGGGATCATTTGCATGGGCACAGCCCACCGTCCTTGGATTCGTCCTGAAACCAAGGGCTACCTATATTGACGGCGTAGCCTCTCTCGTGTTCTTACTTACCGCGAACAAGGATGAGGATGCTGAACAGCAGCGCGGTGCTGAACGGCCAACCGGCCATCCTGGCGTGGAGCGTTACGTCGATTCAGCTTCCTCCTGAAACAATACAAGCGTGCCCAATCAATCAACCTATTCCGCTATACCAGAGCCAACTCCGATCCCTGCCTCTCCTGCCTCTCTCTCTCTCTCTCTCTTTCTCTCTCTGCAACCCTTCATCTCTCAGCGCAAACCCGTTGTCTGTCCCACGTCCTCATCGTTCGGGCCTCGTCCCACCTTTCGATTTCACCCCCAAACCTCCCGCCCCTTTCCTGGCAGACTGCCCGTTCCACGTCCAACCTTGCCGATCCCCTTTCCTCTTCACCGTTCAACCCCGTTCCGCTTACACGCCAATCCCCTACGCCCCGTATCGACATTTTTTTTTCTCTCTCTCGAATCCATGCCTGGAGGGAGGCTTGTCCGTTCAATGAAAGCCCTCCCAGACGGTGCGCGTCGAGCGACGTACATAATCGTGAAACATGCGATGCGTGCCACTGGCTTGGGTATCGGAAATGCCACCCTCTTGCATTTATTTGCGCGTTTTTTTTTGCCGTTCGACGCAAGCCGCGGAAGTCCTCAACCTCATCGAGGTCCTTGAACAGCCCTCGCAGGATAATTCTAGGAGATATTTGGCATATTTGAGATATTAAACATGATTGGTTTAATATGAAGCAAGCAAGTAAAATAAAAAAGTGTCAATTTCGAAGTTGATTCCAAGATTCCTTAAAAGCGCTTATAATTATTCGGAAATAATTAAAAAATATATATATAGGTTTCATCAATCTTAGAAAAAAAAAGAGATTTTAAATGTATTATAAGTGACAACGTAAAAAGATGGACTCGATATACGATATATTGATATCGTCAAAAAAGAATATCAATCTGTGATTCACAAAAGTGCGAGTTGTTCGATGTTAAATTATTGATCATTGTAACTAGGTAACGTCTTTTTCGCAGAGATAAAATGTCCACGTATTTTTTATCACGTTCTTACAAATTTCGTTCAAAGGGGCCAAATCTGGAGCATTCGATTCGCTTCACGGTGCAGTTACATCGTGGCATAGCAAAAGGGTGACCTACACAGCCCTTATGCATTTCGCGTACATACATGAGTGATCTGCAATAGTGTGCTGCTTTTACCTGCGTTCATCTCTCGCTACTTCTTCGTTGAATATTTTTTAAGCTTCTGCTCGTGAAGAGGATATAAAGAAATACACTTGCATTCCACTGAGAACAGGAGGGAGAAATTTACAAAGTAATTACAAAGTAATGTTTTATGTGTGTGTTATACATACACACATATACAAAGCGTCCTATTTTAATTAAAACAAACTCTTCTATTTTAAAAATTTTGAGAATATATCGTTCTTAAAAAAAATGTTTCAGACAAAACGAAAGCAATTCTGCCGCGCTCACAATTAAGTTTACAGATAAGATCGAATATCCATTGTACCATTTTCTAGCGATGAGACGCGCAAACCGAGTAGAAAAGACGAACGAAGAAACAGACAAGGAAAATCGATCGACCGAATTGGACTTAATAATACACAATGACTGGTGACCTGATTTTCAAGAAAAATGTTGAAGCTGTCAAAGATATTTGAACTGAAGTGCTCTTAAAACGAGATATGTCAGTGTTCAGAAAAAAATAGTCTATCTGTGTAGAGATTGTCCAATAAATTAATATAATTATAATTTAATTTAATTTAGTTTGTACCTATAGTTATATGACCAATCAAAAGTAGACTGCAGTTCTAAAAAACCTAGTATCAACGAAATATTCTTTATGCATTTCTTTATTAATATTTTGGTTTATTTTAAGAAAAAACCTATTTTTGCAATCAACACTGCAACCACATCAATTCCCGCAATTAATATCTGCAGGTCAATTATATTATTTATGGAAAAATTATTTTAATCTCGTAAAGCATTCTGCTGTCCGAGCAGATTAGTTTAATTTATGTCAGCAAATTGTTAACCATCGCTCATTTTGACAAATCTGTTTTCGAGGACTATTACTCTCATATCGCTTTTACGAAGAAAGACAAGATAATTTGTATATAAAAGGAAATATGAATTTTTACGTCGAGAGAGAGAAGAATAATATATAATTTATCAGAATTTCTATCATAATACACACGAAATTAGAAATTTATTACTTTAGCTCATCATTTCAATAGTTTTCACAAAATTCTTATAAAATTTTCCATTTTACAATTTCTTTAAACTGAGAATTGAACTGAAAATTCGGTACGTTTTTCCTCAAGACTCTAAATTGTATTTTAGAGATTCCAAAATTCTAAGTATACTCATCGCCACAGAAAGCGTCGTAGCGTTCTATACCTTTCGTGGCGCAAGACACAAAACTAATTAACACATTATGGTTTCCGTAATCGCGTAATGTAATATTAAACGTAACGTTGTGGCGATGCTTATGTTTGAAGATATGATAACGCGGATAGAGGGGAAATTAGATGCACGTGCTCAAATGCGAGAGAGGTCGTGCATAATTCACATAGCAGCGGCGCAAAACGTAGGGAATAAAACGACACCACGTAAATTCGCTTTCCTAAATCACTTGTCCGGGGAGAATATTCCATAAGGATTAACCTTAGGTGTGCGATGAATCAAATTGTGCGGTGGCGAGCACGTCGAACGAATAATCGCGAAAATATCGACTGCTTGGTGTGTTTCGAATCGCCTCCGACCTCACGAATCTCCTTTGCAAGATTATTCGCGTGAATAATACAGTATTTTCGAGCGATACGAGCCATACACAAGAGCCAGATGCAGATTTCGTTTTCGTAAACCGTGGCAGATTTGTTTTAAACTTTCGAAATATTGTCGCAAGATTATATTTATACTCTAGCTCGCGATGTACGTCGTTAATATATTATATTATTAATGCATAATATTGTATATGCATTATATTGAAAACTGAAATATAAAAAAGATCATTATATATATATATGGATTATGTCGTAAATAATGTATAGTTAATACTATAAATGTAACAGTGTAATATAATTAATTATAAATTTAATTCAAATATTTAAAATTTAATATAAATATAAAATAGAATAAAATAAAAAATTTACAATCTCGAAATAGAAATAAATTCAATAGTTGAAATAAAAGGAAAAAAACATACAAAAAATATCGTAGAATTCTCAATTTCGGTCTAATTATTTTCGCACCTCCGTGCCACGGATACGGATCGTTAGTCCGCGTTATTAGCAGAGATTTTTTTACAGGCTGGCCGCGTTTTAAACCGCGTTCAAAGGTCTCGACACATCGCGCGAGCGCACAGGGCGTATTCATTCGCCACCGCTGCTACGGAATTAATGCCGGCCGGCTTAATGGAAGGGAGAAAACAATAGAGAACACGCGTCGACGACGACAACGGAAAAAGCCGGCAACGGCGATGGCAACCATAGCGATGGATTTCACCCCATCATCCTGACGTCACCATCATCATCGCCGACATCAAGAATACGTTCTTCTGTTCGAATGCGAACTGTCTCCGCGATTATTCTTATTCCCGACTGCTCTCGCACTCCTCATCCTTGCTTCTTCCTCGTCTCATCGCGTTTATTCATTCATCCACAACCTCTCTTTGCGTCGATGATTTTTTTTCTCTCTCTGTTCTATCATCGTTCTTAGATTTCTTACGTATGTACGACGTGGATCGCAAAATTGCAAAGATTATAACAGTCGCTACATTATTTGTCTTCGAGAACACCGCAGTCCGAAGATAAATAATGAGGAACTTTATTGTCGAGTTGGATAAATCAATAATACAGGTCCAATAGTAATAAGTCAATTTTCAGGAGATGTAATAAATAATTACTTAGACATAACGTACAGTTTAAAATTATTTTATCTTTAATCAAGAGGAATTAATATAATTGGAATAAGATATCCAGATTTTTCATTCGCATGAAATACTTTAGCAGACAAGAGAACAAAATATTTGACTTTTAAATAAAATGTTAATACACCTCTTAAATATATACTCGTGCAGTCTCGTTCATGAGATATAATTTTCTTATTCTTTTCATATCTGTAGTATAATATATGTATATAAAATCTACAGTATGGCGTCAGTATATTCTGATATTCAAGATTACACACATAAACAGACAAGATACATAAACGCAAGAAATTTCAGACCATAATCCATCGTTCTTAGATTTCTTACGTATGTACGACGTGGATCGCAAAATTGCAAAGATTATAACAGTCGCTACATTATTTGTCTTCGAGAACACCGCAGTCCGAAGATAAATAATGAGGAACTTTATTGTCGAGTTGGATAAATCAATAATACAGGTCCAATAGTAATAAGTCAATTTTCAGGAGATGTAATAAATAATTACTTAGACATAACGTACAGTTTAAAATTATTTTATCTTTAATCAAGAGGAATTAATATAATTGGAATAAGATATCCAGATTTTTCATTCGCATGAAATACTTTAGCAGACAAGAGAACAAAATATTTGACTTTTAAATAAAATGTTAATACACCTCTTAAATATATACTCGTGCAGTCTCGTTCATGAGATATAATTTTCTTATTCTTTTCATATCTGTAGTATAATATATGTATATAAAATCTACAGTATGGCGTCAGTATATTCTGATATTCAAGATTACACACATAAACAGACAAGATACATAAACGCAAGAAATTTCAGACCATAATTATTATCCGCGGCATAATATGACTTTCTTCATTAATTTCACCGGCAACGTTGCATGCAAAGGTGGAAAGAACATTTTGAGAAATTATTGTTGACGGGATCTTAATTCATCAGCCGGGGATATGAACAAGCAAAAATTCCATGACGTCGGCGAAACGTGTAGAACTTTCGCGGGGCACCAGCTGCTGCCGCGCGAGAATTCTGTTGTCCCGTTTCTCTCATATTCTCGTCGCTCGTATACGTAACATAAACGGTGTGCACTAAGACCCCCGGTATAGTAATTCCACATTTCATTCCGCGTGTCAGGAAAATTTCTGCTATATCTCGCGAGCTATAAATCTTGCAACGTTCGCG